AGAGAAGACACAACGATCAAGAAAGGTCTGAGGACTTAATATTTAAAAGGTGCTATAGAAGCAGAAATTTAGGAATGAGATACAAGGAAATTGCGATAGAATAATATTTTGGTATCTAAATGTAGATAAATCTTTTATTTTTAACGAATTAAAACAGTTGTAGATAAATCTTTTATTTTTAACGAATTAAACAGTTGATAATCCTGATATGAAAAGGCGTTTCATAGTATCGAGATGTGGGCCATAGAACAAGCTATTAATAATTGTAGAATGGATTCGAGATATAGGCAACTAATACATAATATATATGAAAACGCAACTATGATAGTACAACTAGACGAAAATACAAATCCCATGCCCATTAAGGGAGGAGTGAGACATGGAGACGTAATATCGCCAAAGCTTTTCAACCTAGTCCTATAACACGTCTTCAAAACTACAAATTGGTCAACCTATGGCATTAACGTTAATGGCAACAAGTTAAACCACCTCAGATTCGCTGACGACATAGTGATTATAGCGAGCACATTCGAGGAACTGCAAATTATGTTGGGGGAACTAGCAGCCAGCTCCCAATACGTCGGCCTAAAAATGAATATGAAAAAAACAAAAATAATGACAAACACAGATGACCCCAGACATATAACTATAAACGGCAGTGGGATAGAACAAATCCAGGAATATATCTACCTAGGCCAAATGCCGAGACTTGACAAAGAGAACCAAAGTGCGGAAATTACTAGAAGAGTAGGACTAGCATGGGCAGGATTTGGAAAACTTAGTTGGATACTTAAGAACCGCAAAATACCCCAATACTTGAGGAGCAAAGTGTTCAACCAATGCATCCTTCCTGTTATGACATATGGATGTCAAACCTGGACCCTAACCAAGGCAAACATGAATAAACTAGCCACAACAGAAAGAGCAATGGAAAGAGCAATGTTAGGTATACGACTGTCAGATAAAAAGAGGAACGACTGGGTAAGATCCAAAACAAAAGTCGAGGACATAACAACAAAAATTGCCAACTTAAATGGAGCTTCGCGGGCCACACTGCTAGACAGAAAGACCAACGTTGGAATACTACAATACAACATTGGAGACCTTACGAAAGTAAACGACCAAGAGGAAGACCACAGATGAGATGGGTTGATGACATTAAAAGAATAGCCGGAACAAATTGGAAATATGTTGCTCAGGATAGAGACTAATGGAAGGAGTTGGGAGAGGCCTATGTCCAAACATGGACGACAGAAGGCTAAGAAGAAGAAGAATCCTGATATATTCGACCTGTAATTAGAAAATATTAATTAGAGCTTACGATATTATTCTCTTTATTAGCTTATAAATATATACTTATCATAAGAAATTCAAAATCAATTTAATGTACAAAAATGAGTTTATAATTTAAATAATTAGTAAAAATTAGATGTAAACAAAGCTGTACAGTCACATTTTAAAACTCAAAATTTCAATAGATATGGAGTGTGTGAATTAATCAGTTCGTGAATAATGTCATTCATGTACAAAGAACCACCGAGTGAACCATGTGTATATTTCTTTTGTGTACGAAAATAAAACGCAGTTTCAGTTGTTTGTAAACAGGTCTTCCGACAACAATATTTGACATTTTGACAAATTGTTTCATTGTTATATTTAAAACACGTTCTTCGCAAAATAAAAATCGCATTTCCACAAATATTAAAACAAATTGTTTTTTGAAGCTAAGTGGTAATGCTGTAGTATGCATTGATTGAGCTCCTTCTTTTGTTGCAGATTTCATGCGACAAAAATCCAGAAATGTTTAATGGAGATATATATATATCTATATATATATATATATATATATATAATATATATATATATATATATATATTCAAAAGAAGTAAAAAATACTTATTTTTACGTATGCGTGGATGAAACCACTGATTCCGCTGGGCGTTATAGCTCATTTATTGATTAAAGTTCTTAACCAGCAATCCTGCTCAAAACACATTTAATTGCCTGCGAACGAATAGAAAAAACGAATGTTTTGCTTTAAACAGTGGCAAACATAATAAAATATTTTATTCAAATGTTCAACGTGTGACATGTTTGGCTCTAATATAAAAAAAGTATTTCTCAAAGCAGCTTTAAGAATTCAGTATACAAAATAAAACTCCTCAATTTTTCTCATCCTCCTCAATCAATAAGAACAAGATGGGGGGACTGGTTGGAAGCAGCATTCTTTTATTGTACCCATTTTACTGATCTAAAATAGTTAATTCCGGAATGGACTGATCAAAATAGTCGAGCTCGTTTTGATGCAAAAAAGTGTATGCAAAATAAACGAACGTGTACGAACTCATCACTTTATAGCCCCCCATAAAATGATTAGACCCTCCGAGATATAGTAAACTGATCTCTTTTGGAGATAGGTAAACTCATCACCGCAGATAGGTAAACTCATCACCAGCATTTTTGCCCCAAGGTGCTGGTTTCTAATGCGGAAGATTGTCAGTTAACCTGTTACACTTCTCGTTTATGTGTTAATTTATTAAATTCAGAAATTATTTTAGGAAAATTGTTTTTAAATAGATATCAGTATCGGATTTCTTACGGTGTGGTCTATTAGATGTAGCTGCCAATCTAAACGGTTTTGAGATCTGAAAATTCAGTTGCATAGGTTTTTGATAGTGAACTTTTTAATGAAAATATTTATGACCATGTGCTGTTTCCGTTTATATCGGAAATAGTCCCCAGCTTATTAACTAACTAGAAATCTATTTTGACAGAATGAATCAAAATGCTTCAAGTACAGTTTCCTGGCTTTTATAAACGGACAAAGCCTACATGATGAAACATTATCCTATGAAAATAGCAAAAAATTAAATTGTCTTAAAAACTTGAAGCATGGAACTGAATTTAAAATTTTTCGTCAATATGAAAATGAAGCAAACTATGGAAATTCGATCAATCAGGAAATCTGTATGAGTAGGCAAAAGAATATAAAGTAACATACATATTTTATATACTTACTTTGGTGTATATCTAACACTTTTGTAAATATTAATTTTCTTATTCTTATTGCAATTAAAATCCAAAAAATTAACCAACAATCAAATAATTGACTTAATGGTGTCTAATGTAAAACTGTCATAATAATAACGTAACGTAATATCTGCATACTTTTTGAGATGTTTAATGTTTTAGAATGATCTACACAAAATCTAAAACTCTGACAATGTGACTAACAATTTAATCAGAAATCTAAAAATGTAATATCAAAATGGGTAATCTACTTAAAGCGACAAATTACTATTATGCCTTGTCTACAACAAACATCTTTTACAGTTGACTTAAAGAACTTAATTAAGCTGATTTTTTTTTTCTGTTTGATCAGAATGATCCGCCACCAGTGCGAAACAACTAAAAACAAACGGTATTAAATCTACTCACCAATTATATGACATTTAGCTTTTATACCTTTTCGTCGCACAAGTCCACAAAAGACAATTTCTTTTCGCATAGTTCTAGGTAGCTATCAATAGAATTTTGTGGAATTCCCAAATAAAAACCTATGAATTGCATTTGCATTTAGTACATCTATTTTAGATTTGTTCTGTCAAATTACCAAATCTTAGCGGTTTGCAAAGAGTTTATGGTCTATACCTGCTACGTGCAGGTAGGACAGTGATGAGTTTACCAATCTCTCGGGGTCTATTTTAAAATCCCTAGTTTTATGGCAGTGATGAGTTTGTACTATGTACGAAGGTATTTATGCTAATTGGGGATGAGTTTACGTGTACCCAAATCTACCTCAACAACTAGCATTTGTTCACACCAATTATGCTTGTGTATTAGATTTTATTTTAAACTTGTAATTTCGAATCAAATAGGTTGTCGTCAGTAAAATCCGTAAGTTGAATAATTAATAGCTGGAAAATATCTATTAATAGTGTTAGTAGTACTGTCCGGGGACAAATAAAAAAAATTAAAAAGGTATTTCAGAGAAATTGAGGATATTTCTTTTTAGCAAATATGGCTAAAATTCATTCTGGTGACTTTATGGAAAATTTTAATATTGATACTCAATCAATACTTAAATCGTTTAAATAAAATATGTTTCAGTTACATAAGTTTATGTAGAACGTATGTCTTTAAAAAAAAAATGTTGGCATATATTGATATATTTGTTTTATATATGCGCATATTTCCTTAATTGTTTGTGCATTTGCTCATCTTTAGTGATGACTAACGTATGAGCGCACTAGGTACTATAACTGGCGTAGTTGTTATCATGATCGTTCATTGTAAGAATTATCATCGACAATGAAAAAGACACTTAGTATACATATGTATCCGAAGCTACTAAATCTATTTATGTACTTGTTATAGGTACTAAATATATGTGCAGCAAGTTCATAAGATGTACCTGGTTATTCACGATTTATTTTGACGTCTATGAAATTAATGAATGAATTAAGTTTGAAAGAAACCAGTACTTCCCGTCTAGATTACGTTTATTTCAATGTTTAAATTGAAGTTCAGATCGTCTTATCAGTGTTTAAAAACATTTTTAATCTGATACACAAACAGATGCTACATCAGTGGATCCATTATAGCGAAAATAATTTTATTCAAAGAATAGGCTTTTTATTAAAATTTAAAGGATATAATGTCGCTTTTTGTTGAAACATAAAAAAATATAAGTTAGAACTAAATTTATTTAGAAACGTGTAAAACTACTGATCAGAAACTACAGCGCGAGAAGCTAGATATGGTACAAAATAGCTAAGTAATGGATAAATTCCACAGTTCGTAAAAAAGTGCATCGATCAAATCAAAATTATAGCTGTAAAGCTTTTAATATATTCACTTTTCGGATTCTTGTAATAGAAAAGAAGAAACATGACAAAAGCAAAGCCCAGCTTTCTGGACTTAACACTAATTGAATCCTAAAAGACTATGAAATTAAAGAAGTTAACTGACTGTCCAATTTGCTTTTTTGAGATTAGATCATGAACGAAATACAAAATATTGAAATGTTAATTATTGAAGAGAGAGCGGATATAGAAGGTAAATAAATATGTGCCAACCATTGAATACAAGGCTCTTCAGGAAGTGTTCTTAATCAAAATCAATAATTATTTATTTCGAAAACAATGTCGAAAGTCATCCTGAACAATTGAAGAATGAAAACCTCAATTTAATCCTCGGTCTATACGCCTACTGGTAGAGGATCCGGTCCGGTAGTGAATAATTGCACATCCTGTAGATGTACATTGACCAATAAATGAAGAATCGGCCGGGTGTCATTCCTTTCGCCTCTCCCCGTAAGCCATGAAAAGAAACCCTTGAACTTGCCAACCTACCGTTCACCTCCTTTCGTTCGGTTTAAAACTCTACAAGTGTACCCGTCCGTACGTTCTGTTTGTGTGCGGTACGGTAGTGACGTAATGAGTAACTACCAAAATATGCTTAAATGTAGAGATGCCGTGATCGCGAATCATCGAATCTTCGGGAGCAGTTACCAAAAATGATCAGTGAAATGGGTCCTATCCCTTAAGTGGATATTCTTCTTATATCCCGTAAGTGGATTCTTTTATATAACTTTCTCTTTCCCATATGTATAATTGAAATATTAAAATAAGGTGTCTATTTTTATTCTGCACGTCAAATATGACACTAGTATTAAAAGTGCGGTATTTTACGATGGCCTTGATAATACGAGGAAACTGTTTTCTTATTACTGGAGACTAGAGAAATCTACTCCGAATGTAATTAAAAAAAAACAAATTTGCAATCTTATTTAGTTTGTATTTTGTGAGCGATTTGCAAAATGGAAATCTGAACTTCAAAATCAACGTATTTTAAACTGAAATCGAGGTTAATGCCCATTAAAAATAGTAAAGAATTTTATTTAATATATTAGTGAGATTAAATTTCATCAGGTTTTTTAGACAGCTCTTTGTCTTGTAATTTTTGTGTCTGGGTATTTCTTATGGCGGCACCACACTTCGCTATGTGTTATATTCGTTCATTCATCAATTATTTGCTTCATTCAAATACATAAGCAAATACCCGAATTGCAAATACGCCTATCCGTCCACTTGTCAGTGTTTTGACACACTTCAAAGGACGAATAAGCCTAATGCGCGCTGAATGTATGTGTCGGCTGCCCACATTTCGCTGGCACTGAGGTTATTCTCGCTGTTTAACTTAACCCAACTTTCCTGTAATTCTCGTTATTCTTAAACCATAAATTTTACAAATGTGTGTTTATTTACAACTATCGTATAACGTTTTACCTTCTTCTTCTTCTTTTATTGCGTAATATCCCGGGGATAATTTGTCCAGCTAATATACCTTTTACCTATTATGCTTTGATTTAAGGTGTACCTACTGTGAAATGAAGTGGACAAATGAAAAGGTAATGAGATTTCTGGATTTATATCAGATGCAGCCTTGATGACATGACACAACAAGTATTGGTAAACTGCATTTAAGTAAAAATAAGTTGCAACGACCATCAATGCGTGCACGTCTACTTTGGTTCTGCCAAATTTGCATGACGCAAATATGTGGCATGTTTGGCCCACCGGCACAAGTCTGGAGTAGCGTATTTGTTATTCGCTGACAAATAGCAAATATTTGGGAGAATACAGCAAAGTCGCATAACAAATAACAATTGTGGTACCGCCATTACAGAATAAAAGCTAGAATTACGTGTATAGATGTTTGGTAATATTCTTAAAATCTGTAACAAGTTTATATTGGATATATCATATAATAGCCTGAATATTTATAATTTAAAGCTAACGTGATACTGATTTGACCTATTTAAAATTATTTCAGTCCAAATCTCAGTTGTATAGCCCCATTATTTTGTATGTATTTTCTCTTCTGATAATATAGGTACGTAGGTTTTGACAAGTAAACTTTCACTACTCAAGCAAATAAAAAATGAAACGAGTCATACGCGTGATCACTTAAGTTTATCCTATCGCTTAGTTGTCCCTATGACCTTTATCAAGAACCGTGTCCAAGAATGTTTTACCAAGAATTTATGTTTTATTTATCGTATGGCATATACTAAGAACTCATAATTAAAAGCAATATTTTTATAAAAAACATTAAATGGAGTATTACAAACGTACCTCTAATATATTAACATTTTCGGTCGCATTCAGGAATTCCATTTTTTGCTGCTCTGTCAATATATATTATCCTCCTTATCTCTTCACAGCTTTTGTTTGAATTCTTTTCTGCTTTTGTTCAGTTTCTTGTAACATTTTCTTGTCTCTATTGATATTGACTGTTCCTACATCAAATAAAATCCTTTCTTTTTATTATGTGTTTGGAAATAATTCATCCAATTCTGCAAATGGTTGTCAAAATTAGCAAATTACCACAATCACCAGATATAGATATTTGTTAAGCTATAAAAGAGGTTTCAAACTTAGCGCTTGCTTTGCAAGAATTAAGGATCGAACCATCTATATTTGATAATATTCATTCAAAAGTAAAAGTGATAAGTTTCTACTAGATGAGATAATAATGCTAGCAATGCATCTGCAGTCAACAATAAAACAAGAAGTGGAACTCTTTGTATTTTATCCGCTTTTAAAAATAAAAAAAAATATACTTATTTAGTAGGCAAAATCATATTCTCAAATATAGATGGATACAACTTAAAACATTTTGATTTGAGTTCTTCAGATTTATAAGCTTAAGTGAGACGTTTAAAAACAAGAAAAGTAACAATTTTTCCACCTTCATAAGTAAGCTCTCTTCTGGCTCGATTTGATGTCTTAGCATAATAGAAAAGCGATGTTTCCAGTATTTAACCAACTAATGGTAAATCTTGCCACAATTCCTGTAACAAGTTGTCTAGCTGTACTTGTGGGTAACCTTTTTCTAAACTGATCATAATAAAATCGATATTTCGATCGACAATGCTTCAGGACTGTTTGAAGTATCTAATGGCGCCTTTTGTTGAACAAGAACTAAATGTTGATAAGCTCTAAATGTTGATAACGATAGTATAGTTGACAAATAAAAAATCGTACCATTCCAGAGACGATTGATGTAGTAATGTGTTGTTATAATAAATTTTTAATGTAGATCTGACTTTTAACGTATTTTTTATATATGTGACTCTGGCCACCCATATTTGTCTTATGATCACTCATTAATTTAATATAAAAACAACGTAACTCGTTTAAAAAAATTACTATTCTAACAAATATATTTTGGATTTAACAGATTATTTCAAAAAATTGTAAACTGTTTTTCATATATGAAATTATCATATGTTGGAAAAAAAAATTATATGGGGGATTATTCTACAATTGAAACTCTATCTCGTATGTATTATTCTACAATGTAATTCTGAAGAAGTATTATTAATATACTAGAGTTGTGCTGAATAAAGTGAACCAAAGGAATTGATGACGCTCAAAGAACGGAGTGCATAGATGCTCCCAATTTAATCTAAAATATCTTCTATGGCAAAAGATCAAAACTGCCAAACAGACTCCAAATTTGAGGAATTTCTTCAATATTCTTAATATACAACATACAAAATAAAAAATGTAGTTATTTTATAGAATGGATACCCAATAATGTGAAAACGGCAGTTTGCGATATTCTGAAAGAAATTCTAAACAATTTACTGCCATGTTTAGAAGAAAAGCATTTTTGCACAGGTGAAGGAATGGATGAAATGAAATTTACAGAAGCTGAAAGTAATATGAATGATTTAGTGGCAGAGTATCAACAATATCACGACTCGAGAGTCGAGGAAGAAGAGGGAGAGAACTAAATTTTACATTGTGTCCCTAAATAAATATTCTTAATAAATTTCAGCCTAGCAAACAAAGTTTATATAAGTAATTTTAGTGTAACTGATTTGGTTCATTGGAGAAATGTGAGTCCCAAGAGACACCTCTACCTAAAGGGATATATTCGGCATTTTAAATATCCAAAAAATGCCGGCCGGCCGGCCGGTCCTTGGAGTGGATCCTCCGCGCCAGCGCCAGCGCTGCTTCGGCTTCGAATGAGAGAGTGTGCGCATTTCAGTTGCTACCGAATACCGAAAGAATCTGCCGGTACATTTCGAATAGATCTTTTCTTCTCTCTCGTTCCGTGTCTTTTGTCTTTGTCGTAAACTTCGAGCGGTGTTGTCGAATCCTTCTAAATTTATATATTCTTGTTATATTCTTACTTGCAAGCGATGATATTCCTGACTGCATTTTGAATTGTCTAAATGTATACACAGGTTTATCAAACCTACATCGCTAACACTACAAACTAAATATGTTTGATTTCTATTTAAATCAAGACAAAAGTGTTTAAGCCTGGATTTATGTTGTTCGAAACGATAAGAGCTAGATTCCTAATACTTCTACAAAATAAATTGTTAGTTTATTGGATGTAGAAACTAAAGTGTATTTTGAAAAAGCAACAAAACAAATATGGGTACATCACATTTTAATGAAACGAAAAGGATGAGGAGTATATCACGCTTAAAAAAACATTAGGTGTTCGCTTCAGTACCAATTTCTTTAATAGTTTAGAATGCTAATATTACAATGTAAATTTCTTGACATTCTCCAACAATCAATCTTCATTGGGCATTACACAGAGACTAACATATGGTCTGCGGAGAAGTACAAGACAACCAACATCTCCTCAACTGTCTGAATTGGGAAGAAACGCGACCTCACTCTGGCCAAAGAAAGAACTATGTGATAAAGTATTGAAACAACATATTTTTGAAGTCTCGTAAAATCCAAACATGGAAAGTATAAATGAACATATAAGATCCAGCTCGAGAAACATTCATCTAAAAAAAACCAATCTATGGTGTCGTTTTTTTTTTCAGGGGCCGTTTGTTTTAACCGGTAGCGGATTGGTTTATTAGTTTAGTCTTTCATTCCTGTAACCTTCTGGCTTAAATTTTAGTATTAACGACCACTTAACCGACCGACCGTTTTACGTGCCCTGCGAAGCACGATGACGGCTCAATTACATTTCTAGGATCGAGTCCGATCCGCCTGACCTATCATTATATAAGGATACATAGAATCATATAAGGATAATTTTATTTGCAGAAGAGATATTTCTCGAATGGCTAATTTTGTTAAATATTTAAATATTTCTGTATAAGAGAATAGTTAAGGACTTACTTCTGGTAAACACTTTCTATTCGTTAGACGAATACTTGCTGGCATATTTATATCGATTGTATATTTTATGTTTTATGTATACTGGTATATGTATGGTTTTTACTAATTATATAATGTATTTGACGTATTTCAATACTTGTGAAAGTCAAATGAAATAAAGAATATTGATTGTTTAACTTCCATGTTTCACAAATTTTCCTCGATATCATTAAGATATGGTTTATTTTGGCCTTCATTTTTTCTCGATATCATTAAGATATGGTTTTTTGGTCTTCATTTTTTTCTCTTTCCCATTGGCTCCGGCAACAAGGTTACTATTGTTGGAGACCAGATTGATGTATTGCACAATGTCAGTTGTACAGTTGTTGTGTATAGTACAGTCTTCTTTAATATATATTTGATATAGTTCAAAGTTAAACCTTCTTCTCCAGTCACCATAGTTTATAACACCCAGTATTGTACACATTACCATTCTTTCGAGGGACCCTAACAGTTTTCTTTTTTTTTTTATTAATATTTTATTAATATATTAAAACAAATTAAAAAACTAGTACAAATACAAAAAAAAAAGAAAGAATAAAAACACCGAAAAAGCTGCAATTAAATGCAGGAAAAAAGTTTCAGCGCGAAGCTTCATAACATGCTTTCTGTTTTAACATTTAAATATTATACTTTTAAAACTGAATAAAGTAATTTTATTATTTTTTTTTAATAGATTTCAATAAAACTGAAAAAGTTTAAATGTTGTACAAAGGGCTCTCCTAGTCGCCTAAATGGACTCATCCAACTTTTTACTGTGACTGCGAACCACGAACATTATTGGAACCACGAACACGAAATTATTGGTCAATTTCTTTGTATTAGAAAACAGTGCTGTGGAAATATATGACTTTACTTGTACCAAATTAAACCTTTCGAGTCGAAATTTTCATCACTGTCGCTTGTATATTGTCTAGTACTGGTTTGAGTGTGTTTAAGCGAATGGTAAAATCCATGATAGATTAGATCTATAAAGGGTACTAGGTCTAGAGTATCTTTATATTTCAAATAGTCTATGAGTAGAGCATCATTATAAGCTGGAAGTATCTGAATATTAGACATGGAAGTTGACCTGCCTGTTCTTAGAATGGACATTAAACAAAACGGTTCATTGGTATCTAATGTGTATTTGAAGCCTATATCACTATCCTTTTTGTAATGTAGCCAAAATGCCCAGTTCCAAACAAAAGAATTTTTATCTTTATTAACATTTCTTTTTATAAAATGTCTTGTTAGAAGTTTGGAAAATCCGAAGAAGTCAGTTTGTTTCATAAATTTTATGTCAAAACGAGGGCTCGTCATTTTAATTACTGATTCTCAGTCCTGTGGAACTGAAATTGTGGCGTTTCTTTTTTTCACAAATCTCTCTTTGTATCACATTCTAAATGAGTAGGACCAGGAACTAGGAACTTATGATGAATTTTTAGAGTTTCCTTTTCTTCAAGTTCTTTTAAAAACATAATCGGTAATATATTATCTCGGTTTTGACCTGAGCACGTATCAGAATAGAGGACTAGTTTTTCTACCTGTTCTGGCATGTCTTTAATAAACTGAAATAAGCAAGATGCGATCTCATCAGTTCCTCGTTGAGCTACACCTTCGTGCCACACATAACAAGATGTCCGTTTTGTGGTGATATTGCGGATCAATATCACCACAAAACGGACAAAACAATCAAATTGAAAGCCCATAACTTTATTTTATAGAAAACCACACTAGATGTCAAATTAGGTGTAGCCAAACACTTCTGCAAATGAAATGCAAGTACTACAAGCTTGCCTAAGCTCCGCATACTTTCTTCGTTGTCGCCTTGTTTTGTTGTATAATGAAAGGAAGCCTTATCCTGGTGTTGGCGTTTATTTTCTAATCTTTATTTTTCTTCGGAGTCACAGCTTTTTATTTTCAGAACTAATGAATCATATATTATATAATGTTAATTTCTTATATTCCATGGACATTCTCTTTTTATTTTTACATTGTATCTCCTCTTTGTGAAGATACTAAAAAAAGATTATGTTTGTATAAGTTTAAATAGAATAATTTTTGAAACGTAACGTTCTAGCTCTCAGATTTCTAATATTGAATCAAAGTATTTATCAATTCTTGTAATTTTATTAAAATACTTCTACTCATATTTTACGAAATGAATTTAATTACTCGTCAGTATTGCTTATTTTAAGTGCGCCACCCATAGTTTCCGTTATCAAGAAATTGTATCTTGCGGATATTAAATAGATGCGGCAACACTGCATGGCACTCATCGCCGCTTATTTCCAGCAGTCGCTGACGTACTATAGTGCCGCGCCGCGCGTGTTAGTTCCATTGATACTTTTATGTTTTTGGACGGAAATTTCTCAAATTATTTGAGTTTTTGTTGATTGTTTTTTAGTTTACGGTTACTTTTAAGAACGCTCAAATGTCGAGGAATCCGAAGTAAGTATTCTTACCTTAGAAAACCATTTTTTTAACGAGAATCGTTTTTTATTATGTATGTGTATTGTTAAATCAACAATTTGTATGAGTGCGAGTGAGCACTGCCTAGACGTGAGATATCAACGGTGCCAACGTTGTTATCGAACTTTTTTTCAAAATAATTCTTGCATTTCTACACACAGATATTAAGTAACTTATCATTTTTTCGACATTTTTGAAAAAGCCGAAAGCGATAGTAAACAATCTTTCACCTTGAGTTTAAAATTTCCATTCATAGAATGTATCCAGTCATGATGAGGTCATTGGCACTGTTATTTTCCTTCTGCTTCAGAATGTGACAAGCATGGGTGTATGCTAATCGGGATCGTCGGGTATATTATTAAAATTCATCATCTTTTTTTGTCAATGCTCATAACTGTCAACAGTAAATAATCTCGGACCACTTGTTGAATGTGTTTACGAAAATGTAATGTTTCTTAAAAGATTAGTTTATATTTGTGCATCAAAATGTCATTGATTCGTAGGTTTAGAAAAATACCTCCCATTAAGTTTTCCTGTGTTTTTTTATCAAAGCTCATCAGTTTTCATAGCGAGATATTTATAATAGTAATCAGTATCTCTGACTGTAGTAGCTTTTAATCTGTATACCATAAGCGATAAATGTATTATGTACACTGTTTTTTGTATAAAGACAGGTATTTTACAATATATAAGTATTCTTCTTGATTTGCGTGTTCAAATTATTTAAGCTTGATATTAGTGAATTCTTACTAAAAAACTGTCTTCTTTTTATTCTTTTATACCCAAGTGCAGAAGATTATATTTGTAATTTCTCAAAAAGCTGTCAATATTGTCTGCTTTTTGATTATCACGCATATTTTAGTTCTTTGCTCCCCTAAAAAAATCCTTCTGTCAAAGTTCTCTTACCTCGACTAGGTATCTTCCAATTTTTCCGTTGATCTACTCATTTGGTGTAATTAAGCAAATGCCAAACCTGAGAGGAATAAATAACGTCTTTATTTAAGTAACATAGGTACTATGTACCTATGTACCATAAAAGATATGGAAATTATAAAACTATGAAAAAATAAAAGATTTTATTCAGAATATGCAAAAATATAATATAACACCTTATTATTTTAAAACAGCTGAGAAACATGTG